GCCATTTTTGAGCGAAAGTCAACCTAATCTCATAGTCGAGGCCGATGAGTCTCTATGGTTGTCACTTTAGCTATGATGTAGGTCCCAAAAACTCGAAACCAAGAATTACAATTTCTATATAGATTGTTTCTCGATCGTTCACGGCGGCACTTCCGAAACTCGAAAGCTCGCATGCCCGCATTGTCTCGAAGAACTAGAAAAGTGTATTTTCTCGACCTAAACATCGTTCTTTTACAAAAATCATCCCTAAGTCATTGCCAAGGGAAATGAGTTTTTATCGTTGGCTCATTGTCCATCGAACCGGGTCTAAAACAACTCAAAACTTGAGAGGCCATTTTTGGGCAAAAATCAACCTCGACTCACGATCGAAGGCGATGAGTCTCCGTGGTTGTCACTTTGGCTATGATGTACGTCCTAAAAATATCAAACCAGAAATTACGGTTTCTCTATAGATTGTTTCACACTCGTTCACACCGACCTTCCGAAACTCGAAAGCTCGCATGTCCGTATTGTCTCGAAAAACTAGAAAAGTGTATTTTCTCGACCTAAACGTCCTTTTTTCCCAAAAATCATCCCCAAGTCATTGCCTAAGGCAATGAGGTTTTATCGTTGGCTCATTTACCATCGACCCGGGTCTAAAACTACTCAAAACATTGTCGGTCATTTTTGGGCAAAAATCAACCTCGGCTCATAATCGAGGCCGATGAGTCTCCGTGGTTGTCGCTTTGGCTATGATGTAGGTCTAAAATATCTCAAACTAGGAATTATAGTTTCTCTAAAGGTTGTTTCACGCTCGTTCACGTCGGCCTTTCCGGGAACTTGAAAGCTCTCATCCACGCATTGTCTCAAAAAACAAAAAAAGTATATTTTCTCGACCTAAACGTCGTTTCTTTACAAAAATCATCCCAACGTCATTGCCTAAGGCAATGAGTTTATATCGTTGCCTCATTTTCCATCGAACTAGGTTTAAAACTACTCAAAACTTTATCGGTCATTTTTGAGCAAAAATCAACCTCGGCTCATAGTCGAGGTCGATAAGTCTCTCGTGGTTGTCACTTTGGCTATGATGTAGGTCCTAAAAACCTCAAACTAGGAATTACATTTTCTCTATAGATTGTTTCACGCTCATTCACACCGCCCTTCCGAGAACTCGGAAGCTCGCATGTTCGCATTGTCTAAAAAAACTAGAAAAGTGTATTTTCTTAGTCTAAATGTCGTTTTTTGCAAAAATCATCTCCAAGTCTTTGCCATATGTAATAAGTTTTTATCGTTGGCTCGTTTGCCATTGAACTGGGTCTAAAACAACTCAAAACAAGGTCGGCCATTTTTAGGAAAAAATCAACCTCGAGTCACGATCGAGCGCTATGAGTCTCCGTGGTTGTCACTTTGGCTATGATATAGGTCCCAAAAATCTCAAACCGGGAATTATAGTTTCTCAAAAGGTTGTTTCGCGTTCGTTCACACCGGCCCTTCCGGAAACTCGAAAGCTCGCATGCCCGCATTATCTTAAAAAATTAGAAAAGTGTATTTTCTCTTCCTAAATGTCGTTTTTTTTGCAAAAATCATCCCCAAGTTATTGCTCAAGGCAATGAGTTTTTATCATTGGCTCGTTTGAGATCGAACTGGGTCTAAAACTACTCAAAACATTATCGGCCATTTTTCGATAAAAATCAACCTCGGCTCACGGTCGAGGCCGATCGGTCTTTGTGGTTGTCACTTTGGCTATGATACGAGTCCGAAAAATCTCAAACCGGGAATTATAGTTTCTCTAAAGGTTGTTTCACGCTCATTCACGGCGTTCCTTACGGGAACTCGAAAGCTCTCATACACGCATTGTCTCAAAAAACAAAAAAAGTATTTTTTCTCGACCTAAACGTCGTTGCTTTACAAAAATCACCTCAAAGTCATTGCCTAAGGCAATGAGTTTATATCGTTGTCTCATTTGCCATCGAACCGGGTCTAAAACTACCGAAAACTTTGTCGGCCATTTTTGAGCAAAAATCAACCTCGACTCACGGTCGAGGCCGATAAGTCTCTGTGGTTGTCACTTTGGCTATGATGTAGGTCCTAAAAACCTCAAACTAGGAATTACGGCTTTGCTATAGATTCTTTCATGCTCGTTCACACCGGCCCTTTCGAGAACTCATAAGCTCACATACTCGCATTGTCTCGAAAAACTAAAAAAATGTATTTTTTCGATCTAAATGTCGTTTTTTGCAAAAATCATCCCAACTCTTTGCCATAGGCAACAAGTTTTTATCGTTGGCTTGTTTGCCATCGAACCGGGTCTAAAACAACTCAAAACAAGGTCGGCCATATTTGGTAAAAATTAACCTCGAGTCACAATCGAGGGCGATGAGCCTCTATGGTTGTCACTTTAGCTATGATATAGGTCTCAAAAATCTTAAACCAAGATTTATAGTTTCTCTAAAGGTTGTTTCGCATTCGTTCACATCGGCCCTTCTAGAAACTCGAAAGCTCGCATGCCCGCATTACATCGAAAAATTAGAAAAGTGTATTTTCTCTCGCCTAAACGTTGTTTTTTTTGCAAAAATCATCCCCAAGTCATTGCCTAAGTCAATGAGTTTTTATCGTTGGCTCGTTTGCCATCGAACTGGGTCTAAAACTACTCAAAATATTATCGACCATTTTTTGACAAAAATCAACCTCGGCTCATAGTCGAGGCCGATAAGTCTCTGTGGTTGTCACTTTGGCTATGATGTAGGCTCGAAAAATCTCAAACCGGGAATTATAGTTTCTCTAAAGTTTTTTCATGCTCGTTCACACTCGGCCCTTCTAAGAACTCGAAAGCTCTCATACCCGCAAGGTCTCGAAAAACTAGAAAAGTGTATTTTCTCGCCCTAAATGTCGTTTTTTTGTCAAAATCATCCCCAAGTCATTGCCATTGGCAATCAATTTTTGTCGTTGGCTCATTTTCCATCGAACTGGGCCTAAAACTACTCAAAACGTTATCGATCATTTTTGAGCAAAAATCAACCTCGGCTCACGATCAAGGCCGATAAGTCTCTGTGGTTGTCACTTTGGCTATGATGTAGGTCCCAAAAATCTCAAACCGGGAATTATAGTTTCTCTATAGATTGTTTCACGCTCGTTCACATCGGCCCTTCCGAGAACTCGAAAGCTCGCATGCTCGCATTGTCTCGAAAAACTAAAAAATTATATTTTCTCGGTTTAAATGTCATTTTTTACAAAAATCATCCCCAAGTCTTTTCCATAGGCAACAATTTTTATCGTTGGCTCGTTTGCCATGAAACCGGGTCTAAAACAACTCAAAACAAGGTCGCCATTTTTGGGCGAAAATCAACCTCGAGTCATAGTCGAGGGCGATAAGTCTCCGTGGTCGTCGCTTTGGCTATGATATAGGTCTCAAAAATCTAAAACTAGGAATTATAGATTCTATAAAGGTTGTTTCGCGTTCGTTCACACCGGCCCTTCTAGGAACTCGAAAGCTCTCATACACGAATTGTCTCGAAAAACTAAAAAAGTGTATTTTCTCGGCTTAAACATCGTTTCTTTACAAAAATCATCCCCAAGTCATTGCCATTGGAAATGAGTTTATATTGTGCCCTCTTGTGCCATCGAACTGGGTTTAAAACTAATCAAAACTTTGTCGGCCATTTTTAAGCAAAAATCAATCTCGGCTCACAATCGAGGCCGATGAGTCTCTATGGTTGTCACTTTGGTTATGATGTAGGTCCAAAAACCTCAAACCAGGAATTATAGTTTCTCTATAGATTGTTTCACACTCGTTCACACCGGCCCTTCAAGGAACTCGGAAAGCTCGCATGCCCGCATTATCTCGAAAAACTAAAAAAGTGTATTTTACGTATCTAAACGTCATTTTTTTGCAAAACGCATCCCCAAGTCTTTTCCATCGGCAACAAGTTTTCATCATTGCCTCATTTTCCATCGAACTCGGGTCTAAAACAACTCAAAACAAGGTCGGCCATTTTTGGGCGAAAATCAACCTCGAGTCACGGTCGAGGGCGATGAGTCTCTATGGTTGTCACTTTGGCTATGATGTAGGTCCTAAAAATCTCAAACTAGGAATTACGGTTTCTCTATAGATTGTTTCACGCTCGTTCACATCGACCCTTCCATCAACTCGAAAGCTCGCATGCCGGCATTGTCTCGAAAAACTAGAAAAATATATTTTCTCGGCTTAAACGTAATTTTTTTTCAAAAATCATCCCCAAGTCATTCCCAAAGGCAATGAGTTTTTATTGTTGGCTCATTTACCATCGAACCGGGTCTAAAACTACTCAAAACATTGTCGGCCATTTTTGGACGAAAATCAACTCGAGCTCACGGTCGAGGCCGATGAGTCTTTGTGGTTGTCACTTTGGCCATGTAGGTCCGAAAAATCTTAAACCGGGAATTATAGTTTCTCTAAAGGTTGTTTCACACTCATTCACACCGGCCCTTCCGGGAACTTGAAAGCTCTCATACACGCATTGTCTCGAAAAACTAAAAAAGTGTATTTTCTCGACCTAAACGTCGTTTCTTTACAAAAATCATCCCTAACTCACTCGCCATTGGCAATGAGTTTATGTCATGGCCTTTTGTGCCATCGAACCGGGTCTAAAACTACTCAAAACTTTGTCGGCCATTTTTGAGCAAAACTCAAGCTTAGCTCACGGTCGAGGCCGATAAGTCTTTATGGTTGTCACTTTGGCTATGATGTAAATCTCAAAAACCTCAAACTAGAAATTACGGTTTCTCTATAGATTGTTTCACGCTCGTTCATACCGGCCCTTCTAGGAACTTGGAAGCTCGCATGCTCGAATTGTCTCGATAAACTAAAAAAATGTATTTTACGTATCTAAACGTCGTTTTTTACAAAAATCATCCCCAAGTATTTGCCGTAGGCAACAAGTTTTTATCGTTGGCTCGTTTGCCATCGAACTGGGTCTAAAACAACTTAAAACAAGGTCGGCCATTTTTGGTCGAAAATCAACCTCAAGTCATAGTCGAGGGCGATGAGCCTCTGTGGTTGTCACTTTGGCTATGATATAGGTCCCAAAAATATCAAACTTGGAATTATAGTTTCTCTAAAGGTTGTTTCGCATTCGGTCACACCGGCCCTTCCGGAAACTCGAAAGCTCGCATGCTCGCATTGTCTCAAAAAATTAGAAAAGTATATTTTCTATACCTAAACGTCCTTTTTTTTTGCAAAAATCATCCCCAAGTCATTGCCTAAGGCAATGAGTTTTTATCGTTGGCTCGTTCGCCATCGAACCGGGTCCGAAACTACTCAAAACATTATCGGCCATTTTTCGACAAAAATCAACCTCGGCTCACGAGTCGAGGCCGATAAGTCTCCGTGGTTTTCACTTTGACTATGATGTAGGCCCGAAAAACCTCAAACCAGGAATTGTTGTTTCTCTAAAGGTTGTTTCATGCTCGTTCACACCGGCCCTTCGAAGAACTCGAAAGATCTCATGGACGCAATGTCTCGAAAAACAAGAAAAGTGTATTTTCTCGGCCTAAACGTCGTTTTTTTACAAAAATCATCCCCAATTCATTGCTTAAGGCAATCGGTTTATATCGTTGGCTCATTTGCCATCAAAGTAGGTCTAAAACAACTCAAAACATGCTCGACCATTTTTGAGCGAAAATCAACCTAAGCTCATAGTCGAAGCTGAGTGAGTATCCGTGTTTGTCACTTTGGCTATGATGTAGGTCCAAAAATCTCAAACCGGGAATTATAGTTTCTCTATAGATTTTTTCACGCTCGTTCACACCGGCCCTTCTAGAAAATCGAAAGCTCGCATGCCCGTATTGTCTCGAAAAACTAGAAAAGTGTATTTTCTTGACCTAAACGTTGTTTTTTTTACAAAAATATCCCTAAGTCATTGCTAAAGGCAATGAGTTTTTATCGTTTGCTCATTTGCCATCGAACTGGTTCTAAAACTACTCAAAACATTGTCGACCATTTTTCGACAAAAATCAACCTCGACTAATAGTCGAGGCCGATTAGTCACCGTGGTTGTCACTTTGGCTAGGATGTAGGTCGGAAAAATCTCAAACCAAGAATTATAGTTTCCCTAAAGGTTATTTCATGCTCGTTCACATCGGGCCTTCCGAAACTCAAAAGCTCGCATGCCCGCATTGTCTCAAAAAATTAGAAAAGTATATTTTCTCGACCTAAATGTCAGTTTTTTGCAAAAATCATCCCCAAGTCATTGCCATTAGCAATGAGTTTTTATCGTTAGCTCTTTTGCCATCGAACTGGGTCTAAAACAACACAAAACATGGTCGGCCATTTTCTAGCAAAAATCAACCTCATCTCACGGTAGAGGCCGATAAGTCTCCGTGGTTGTCACTTTTGCCATGATTTAGGTCCCAAAAATCTCAAACCAAGAATTACGGTTTCTCTATAGATTGTTTCATGCTCGTTCACACCGCTCTTCCGAAACTCGAAAGCTCGCATGCCGTATTGTCTCGAAAAACTAAAAAAGTATATTTTCTCGACCTAAACGTCGTTTTTTTTTAAAATCATCCCTAAGTCATTGCCAAAGGAAATGAGTTTTTAACGTTAGTCGGTTTTCCATTGAACAAGGTCTAAAACAACTCAAAACTTGGGAGGCCATTTTTGGGCGAAAATCAACCTCGGCTCACGATCGAAGTCGATGAGTCTCTGTGGTTGTCACTTTGGCTATGATGTAGGTCCTAAAAATCTCAAACCTAGAATTAAAGTTTCTCTATAGATTGTTTCACGCTCGTTCACACCGACCCTTCCGGAAACTCGAAAGCTCGCACGCCCGCATTGTCTCAAAAAACTAGAAAGTGTATTTTCTCGGTCTAAATGTCATTTTTTACAACAATCATCCCCAAGTCTTTACCATAGCCAACAATTTTTTATCGTTGGCTTATTTGCTATCGAACCGTGTCTAAAACATCTCATAACAAGGTCACTCATTTTTGGGCAAAAATCAACCTCGAGTCACGATCGAGGGCGATGAGTCTCCGTGGTTGTCACTTTGGCTATGATATAGGTCCCAAAAACCTCAAACCGGGAATTATTGTTTCTCTAAAGGTCTGTTTCGCATTCGTTCACACTAGCCCTTCCGAAACTCGAAAGCTCGCATGCTCACATTGTTCCGAAAAACTAGAAAAGTGTATTTTCTCGGCCTAAACGTCGTTTTTTTTACAAAAATCATCCCCAATTCATTGCACGAGGAAATGAGCTTTTATCGTTGGCTCATTTTTCATGGAACCGGGTCTAAAACTACTCAAAACATGGTCGGCTATTTTTGGGCGAAAATCAACCTCGACTCACAATCGAGTCCGATAAGTCTCCGTAGTTTTCAATTTGGCTATAATGTAGGTCCCAAAAATCTCAAACCGGGAAGTATAGTTTCTCTAAAGTTTGTTTTCCACTCGTTCACACCGGCCCTTCTAGGAACTCGAAAGCTCTCATGCCCGCATTGTCTCGAAAAATTAGAAAAGTGTATTTTCTCGGCCTAAACATCATTTTTTTTGCAATAATCACCCCCAAGTCATTTCCCTAGGCAATGAGTTTTTATCGTTGGCTCGTTTTCCATCGAACCGGGTCTAAAACTAAAAACATGGTCGGCCATTTTTGGGCAAAAATCAACCTCGGCTCCCGGTCGAGGCCGATGAGTCTCCGTGGTTGTCGTTTTGGCTATGATGTAGGTGCCCAAAATCTCAAACCGGGAATGATAGTTTCTCTATAGATTTTTTCACGCTCGTTCACATAAGCCTTTTCGGGAACTCAAAAGCTCGCATGCCCGCATTGTCTCGAAAAACTAGAGAAGTGTATTTTCTCGGCCTAAACGTCATTTTTTTACAACTAGAAAATTATAGTTTCTCTAAAGGTTGTTTTGTACTCGTTCACATCGACCCTTCTAGGAACTCGAAGGCTCTCATTCCCGTATTGTCTCGAAAAATTAGAAAAGTGTATTTTCTCGGCCTAAACATGGTTTTTTTGCAAAAATCACCACCAAGTCATCTCCCTAGGCAATGAGTTTTTATCATTGGCTCTTTTGCCATCGAACCGGGTCTAAAACTTCTCAAAACTTGGTTGGCCATTTTTGGGTGAAAATCAACCTCACCTCACGGTCGAGGCCGATGAGTCTCTGTAGTTGTCACTATGGCTATGATGTAGGTCCCAAAAATCTCAAACCGTAAATTATGGTTTCTTTAAAGGTTGTTTCACGAGTCATTCACATGGTCCCTTGCAGGAGCCGGAAAGCTCTCATGCCCGTATTGTCTCGAAAAATTAGAAAAGTGTATTTTCTCGGCCTACACATCATTTTTTTAAAAAAAATCATCCCCAAGTCACTACCTAGGGCAATGAGTTTTTATCGTTGGCTCGTTTTTCATCGAACTGGCCCTAAAACTACTCAAAACATGGTTGGCCATTTTTAGGCGAAAATCAACCTCGACTCACAATCGACGCCGATGAGTCTATGTGGTTGTCGTTTTGGCTAACATGTAGGCCTCAAAAATCTCAAACCGAAATTACGGTTTCTCGTAGATTGTTTCACGCTCGTTCACACCGACCCTTCCATGAACTCGAAAGCTCGCAAGCCCGTATTGGTCGGAAAAACTAGAAAAGGGTATTTTCTTGGCCTAAACGTCGTTTTTTTATAAAAATCATCCCCAAGTCATTGCCATAGGCAATGAGTTTTTATCGTTGTCTCATTTTCCATCGAACCGGGTCTCAAACTTCTCAAAACTTGGTCGGCCATTTTTGGGTGAAATCAACCTCACCTCACGGTCAAGGCCGATGAGTCTCCGTGGTTGTCACTATGGCTATGATGTAGGTCCCAAAAATCTCAAACCAGTAATTATAGTTTCTTTAAAGGTTGTTTCATGCTCATTCATACCGACCCTTCCAGGAGCTCGAAAGCTCTCATGCCCGCATTGTCTCGAAAAACTAGAAAGTGTATTTTCTCGACCTAAACATCGCTTTTTTACAAAAATCATCCCCAAGTCATCGCCTAGGGCAATGAGTTTTTATCATTGGCTCGTTCTCCATCGAACCGGGTCAAAACTACTCAAAACATCATCGGCCGGTTTTGGACGAAAATCGACCTCGGCTCACAATCGAGGGCGATGAGTCTCCGTGGTTGTCGTTTTGGCTATAATGTAGGTATCAAAAATCTCAAGCTAGAAATTACGGTTTCTCTATAGATTGTTTCACGCTCGTTCACACCGGCCCTTCCATGAACTCGGAAGCTCGTATTGTCTCCAAAAACTAGAAAAGTGTATTTTCTCGGTCTAAATGTCGTTTTTCTACAAAAATCATCCCCAAGTTTTTTTCACAGGCAATAAGTTTTTATCCTTGGCTCGTTTTCCATCGCATCGGGTCTAAAACAACTCAAAACAAGGTCGGCCATTTTTTGGCAAAAATCAACCTCGGCTCGTAGTCGAGGCCAATGAGTCTCCGTGGTTGTCACTTTGGCTATGATGTAGGTCCCAAAAACCTCAAACCAGGAATTACGGTTTCTCTAAAGGTTGTTTCACGCTCATTCACATCAACCCTTCTAGGAACTCGATAGCTCTCATGCTCGCATTGTCCCGAAAAACTAGAAAAGTGTATTTTCTCGGCCTAAACGTCGTTTTTTTACAAAAATCATCCCCAAGTCATTGCTCGAGGAAATGAGCTTTTATCGTTGGCTCGTTTTTCATGGAACTAGGTCTAAAACTACTCAAAACATGATAAGCTATTTTTGGACAAAAATCAACCTCGGCTCCCAATCGAGGCCGATGAGTCTCTCCGGTTTTCACTTTGGCTATGATGTAGGTTCCAAAAATCTCAAACCGGGAATTATAGTTCCTCTATAGATTGTTTCACGCTCGTTCGCACCGACCCTTCCAAAAACTCGAAAGCTCGCATGCCCGCATTGTTTCGAAAAACTAAAAAGTGTATTTTCTTGGTCTAAATGTCATTTTTTACAAAAATCATCCCCAAGTCATTGCTTGAGGAAATGAGCTTTTATCGTTGGCTCGTTTTTCATGGAACTGGGTCTAAAACTACTCAAAACATGCTTAGCTATTTTTGGGTGAAAATCAACCTCGGCTCACAATCGAGTCCGATAAGTCTCTGTGGTTTTCAATTTGGCTATAATGTAGGTCTCAAAAATCTCAAACCGGGAAGTATAGTTTCTCTAAAGTTTGTTTTGCACTCGTTCACACCGGCCCTTCTAGGAACTCGAAAGCTCTCATGCCCGCATTGTCTCAAACAATTAGAAAAGTGTATTTTCTCGGCCTAAATATCATTTTTTTACAATAATCACCCCCAAGTCATTTCCACTAGGCAATGAGTTTTTATCATTGGCTCGTTTTCCATCAAACCGGGTCTAAAACTACTCAAAACATGATCGGCCATTTTTGGGCAAAAATCAACCTCGGCTCCTAGTCGAGGCCGATGAGTCTCGTGGTTGTCGTTTTGGCTATGACGTAGGTGCCCAAAATCTCAAACCAGGAATGACGGTTTCTCTATAAATTGTTTCACGCTCGTTCACACCGACCTTTCCGGGAACTCGAAAGCTCGCATGCCCGTATTGTTCCGAAAAACTAGAAAAGTGTATTTTCTCGGCCTAAACGTCATTTTTTTACAAAAATCATCCCTAAGTCATTGCTCAAAGCAATGATTTTTTATCGTTGGCTCGTTTTCCATCAAGCTCGGGCCTAAAACTACTCAAAACATGGTCGACCATTTTTGGGCAAAAATCAACCTCGGCTCACGGTCGAGTCCGATGAGTCTCTGTGGTTTTCAATTTAGCTATAATGTAGGTCCCAAAAATCTCAAACCAGGAGGTATAGTTTCTCTAAAGTTTGTTTTGTACTTGTTCACACCGGCCCTTCTAGGAACTCGAAAGCTCGCATGCCCGCATTGTCTCAAAAAATTAGAAAAGTGTATTTTCTCGGCCTAAACGTCGTTTTTTTGCAATAACCACCCCCAAGTCATTTCCACTAGGCAATTAGTTTTTATCGTTGGCTCGTTTGCCATAGAGCCGGGTCTAAAACTTCTTAAAACATGGTCGACCATTTGTGGGTGAAAATCAACCTCGCCGCACGGTCGAGGCCGATGAGTCTCCGTGATTGTCACTTTGGTTACGATGTAGGTCCCAAAAATCTCAAACCAGCAATTATAGTTTCTCTAAAGGTTGTTTCACGCTCATTCACATCGGCCCTTCCGAGAACTCGAAAGCTCTCATTCCCGCATTATCTCAAGAAACTAGAAAAGTGTATTTTCTCGGCCTAAACGTCATTTTTTTACAAAAATCATCCCCAAGTCATTGCTTACAGCAATGAGTTTTTATCTTTGGCTCGTTTTCCATCGAACCGGGTCCAAAACTACTCAAAACAAGGTCGGCCATTTTTGGGCAAAAATCAACCTTAGCTCACGGTCGAGGCCGATGAGTCTTTGTGGTTGTCCTTTTGGCTATGATGTAGGTGCCTAAAATCTCAAACCAGGAATGAAAGTTTCTCTATAGATTGTTTCACGCTTATTCACACCGACTCCTTCCAGGAACTCGAAAGCTCGCATGCTCGTATTATCTCGAAACACTAGAAAAGTGTATTTTCTCGGCCTAAACATCATTTTTTTGCAAAAATCATCCCCAAGTCATTGCCTAAGGCAATGAGTTTTTATCGTTGGCTCGTTTTTCATCAAACTGGGTCTAAAACTACTCAAAACATTGTCGGCCATTTTTGGGCAAAAATCAACCTCAACTCACAGTCGAGTCGATGAGTCTTTACGGTTGTCGTTTTGGCTATAATGTAGGTTCCAAAAATCTCAAACCGGGAATTATAGTTTCTTTAAAGGTACTTTTGTACTCGTTCACACCGGCCCTTCTAGGAACTCGAAAGCTCTCATTCCCGCATTGTCTCGAAAAATTAGAAAATTGTATTTTATCGGCCTAAACATGGTTTTTTTACAAAAATACCCCTAAGTCATCTCCCTAAGCAATGAGTTTTTATCGTTGGCTCGTTTGTCATCGAACTCGGGTCTAAAACTTTTCAAAACTTGGTCGGCCATTTTTTGGTGAAAATCAACCTCACCTCACGAGCAAGGCCGATGAGTCTCCGTAGGTGTCACTATGGCTATGATATAGATCCTAAAAATCTCAAACCAAGAATTATTGTTTCTTTAAAGGTCGTTTCACGCTCATTCACCCCGGCCCTTGCATGAGCTTGAAAGCTCTCATGCCCGCATTGTCTCAAAAAACTAGAAAATTGTATTTTTCGGCCTAAACGTCGTTTTTTTTACAAAAATCATCCCCAAGTCATTGCTCGAGGCAATGAGTTTTTATCATTGGCTCGTTTGCCATCGAATTGGGTCTAAAACTTTTCAAAACTTGGTCGGCCATTTTTTGGTGAAAATCAACCTAACCTCACGGTCGAGGCCGATGAGTCTCCGTGGGTGTCACTATGGCTATGATATAGGTCCTAAAAATCTCAAACCAGGAATTATTGTTTCTTTAAAGGCTGTTTCACGCTCATTCACCCCGGCCCTTGCATGAGCTCGAAAGCTCTCATGCCCGCATTGTCTCAAAAAACTAGAAAATTGTATTTTTCGGCTTAAACGTCGTTTTTTTTACAAAAATCAATCCCAAGTCATTGCACGAGGCAATGAGTTTTTATCATTGGCTTGTTCGCCGTCGAACCGGGTCTAAAACCACTCAAAACATGGTCGGCCATTTTTTAGCGAAAATCAACCTCGGCTCACGAGTCGAGGCCAATGAGTCTCTGTGGTTGTCACTTTGGCTATGATGTAGGTTCAAAAAACCTCAAACCAGGAATTATAGTTTCTCTATAGATTGTTTCACGCTCGTTCACACCGGCCTTTCCAAGAACTCGAAAGCTCGCATGCTCGCATTGTCTCCAAAAGCTAGAAAAGTGTATTTTCTTAGCCTAAACATCGTTTTTTTACAAAAATCATCCCCAAGTCATTGCCTAAGGCAATGAGTTTTTATCGTTGCCTTGTTTTTCATTGAACTCGGGTCTAAAATTACTCAAAATATGATCGGCCATTTTTAGGTAAAAATCAACCTCGGCTTACGGTCGAGGTCGATGAGTCTCTGTGGTTGTCGTCTTGGCTATGATGTAGGTTTGCAAGATCCGAAACTAGGAATTAAAGTTTCTCTATAGATTGTTTAACGCTCGTTCACATCGGCCCTTCCGAGAACTCGAAAACTCACATGGCCGCATTGTCTCAAACAACAAGAAAAGTGTATGTTCTCGGCCTAAACGTCATTTTTTTCAAAAATCATCCCCAAGTCATTGCACGAGGAAATGAGCTTTTATCATTGGCTCGTTTTTCATGGAACCGGGTCTAAAACTACTCAAAACATGATCGACTATTTTTAGGCGAAAATCAACCTCGGCTCACAATCGAGGCCGATGAGTCTCCGTGGTTGTCACTTTGGCTATGATGTAGGTCCTAAAAATCTCAAACTAGGAATTATAGTTTCTCTATATATTGTTTCACGCTCGTTCACACCGGCCCTTCCGAAACTCGAAAGCTCGCATGCCCACATTGTCTCGAAAAACTAACAAAGTGTATTTTCTCGACCTAAACGTTGTTTTTTTACAAAAATCATCCCTAAGTCATTGCCAAAGGCAATGAGTTTTTAACGTTGGCTGGTTTTCCATCGAATAAGGTCTAAAACGACTCAAAACTTAGGAGGTCATTTTTGGGCGAAATCAACCTCGGCTCACGATCGAAGGCGATGAGTCTCTGTGATTGTCATTTTGGCTATGATGTAGATCCTAAAAATCTCAAACCAAGAATTAAAGTTTCTCTATAGATTGTTTCACGCTCGTTCACACCGACCCTTCCGGAAACTCGAAAGCTCGCACGCCCGCATTGTCTCAAAAAACTAGAAAAGTGTATTTTCTCGATCTAAATGTCATTTTTTACAAAAATCATCCCCAAGTCTTTACAATAGGCAACAAGTTTTTATCGTTGACTTATTTGCCATCGAACCGTGTCTAAAACAACTCGGAACAAGGTCACCCATTTTTGGGCGAAAATCAACCTCGGGTCACGGTCGAGGGCGATGAGTCTCCGTGGTTGTCACTTTGGCTATGATATAAGTCCCAAAAACCTCAAACCGGGAATTATTGTTTCTCTAAAGGTTGTTTTGCATTCGTTCACACCAGATCCTTCCGAAACTCGAAAGCTCGCACGCCCGCATTGTCTCAAAAAACTAGAAAAGTGTATTTTCTCGGTCTAAATGTCATTTTTTACAAAAATCATCCCCAAGTCTTTACAATAGGCAACAAGTTTTTATCGTTGACTTATTTGCCATCGATCCGTGTCTAAAACAACTCGGAACAAGGTCACCCATTTTTGGGCGAAAATTAACCTCGGCTCACAATCGAGTCCGATGAGTCTCCGTGGTTTTCAATTTGGCTATAATGTAGGTCCCAAAAATCTCAAACCGGGAAGTATAGTTTCTCTAAAGTTTGTTTTGCACTCATTCACACCGGCCCTTCTAGGAACTCGAAAGCTCTCATGCCTGTATTGTCTCAAAAAATTAGAAAAGTG